TTCTCATAAACCATATCTTGGAATATTGTGCACAGGTTCCTGGAAGCAAGCCAGGCGAGGACTCTGTAGAGGTTGTCTTGGTTGATGAAGAGGCTGTCGGAACAGCTGATATATCTGGATGTGGAGCAAAAGTTCTTCATCGTAGCAGTGGGCTGGAGCATGCTTCTCGTCCTGTAGGATCAACAGTGACAATGGTATGTCTCCTTTTATCAGCCCGTCGCATTATATATCTGATTATCTGCTGAGGTGTAGTTCCTGCCAATTATAGAAATGTTTGTCTAGGATTGACCATAATAACTAGAAATAAACATGCGGTCAATAAAGTGGGAGGAGAACCATGGGTCTAAGGTTCAAATCCTTAACTTTTAGGTGTTGTTTGGTTGATTGTGTGGTATAACCGTATAAGTGTATAATTAATACCAGCATAAAATCCTGCATGAAATAATATGAAGTTTGGTTGGTTGCATAAGAAAAAATATGTGCGGTCATTATTTAATGCAACGTTTGGTTGGCGGTATCAAATAATATCTGCACCAAGTTATGCGGGAATCTATATATTGTTTTATGCAGGGCAGCAGGAGAGAATGTAAAATAAAAATACTTGCATTAGCATACGAGAGTCGGACTATCTAAAGACGAAAATTCCCTTAGAGTAAGTAATTATTGTATAACAATAATCTCTTCGTATTGATCACCTCATAACAATCCATTTGTTAATAATCAACACATAAACAATCCCCGCATTAAGTTCATTACTTTCAACAAGAAAAACAATTTCTGCATAAGTAGTTGGTGAACCAAAATGACCCCTTATTGAATTAGTGGAACGCAACAAGTTTGAGATTGAGGCATAGTTGTTACGTAACACACCCAAAAAAAAGAAGAGAAAAAGGGTGTTGTCGTCGTTGTTGTATTTCTTCTTGAAATAGTCTTGTTAGAAAGAAGGAAATAGTCAGGTTTACCATTTTCTTTCTCCGATGTTTGAGACAGTTTGGAGTGGTTTTTCATTTTTTTTTTCTTTTGGTGATGTTAAACTCTGTGACTTGTGACCATGGTGAGAATGGTCACAAGTCAGTTATTTACCCCTTCTCAAAAAAATTGCACTATGACTAGTGACCATTCTCACCATGGTAGATTGTCTAGTAACAAGCTTGACAATTTTCCTCTACTTCAATGATAGATCTTAGAATGAGCTCACAATCTTGTCTGTGTGCTATTGCCTTTAACTATTACCGTATATTGCAATTCTGCAAAGTTTCGAGTTACCTTTATGTTATCCTTAACAAAACTTGAGGACTAGTAATATAACATGTTAACCTTCCAAACCAAAAAATAAAAAACAAAACTTGAGGACCATGGGGAGCATAACTACAATACCATGTCAAAGTCGAGTTCACCAATTAAAATAGATCTGACTGTCTGTGTGAATGAGACAAGAGTGGGTTGCTCTAGAGGTGAGCACCCTCCACTTCCAACCAAGAGGTTGTGAGTTCGAGTTACCCCAAGAGCAAGGTGGGGAGTTCTTGGAGGGAGGGAGCCGAGGGTCTATCGGAAACAGCCTCTCTACCCTAGGGTAGGGGTAAGGTCTGCGTACACACTACCCTCCCCACACCCCACTAGTGGGATTATACTAGGTTGTTGTTGTTGTTGTTGTTGTACTGTCTGTGTGAACGCCTTCCACCTTCATTCTTCAACATTCAAGTATGGAATTGAGAGACGAATGATTTGCGTTGATGTTTATTTGTTTTGTGACTTTGTCTTATAAGAAAAGAGTATTTACTAAAGATCCTTGACATTAAAACATGAGTTTTCCGGACCAAAATAATGAGATGTTGCTTTGTCTAAATCACTAGTGAGTGACTACCTGTCCTCCATCATACTGTTGATCTTTCTTTTCGTATATAAGGATTTTCTTTTCTATCAGGAGCATTATAATGATTGTCAGTTGCTGTATAGATTTGTATACACATACTGAATCTTGGCCAAAAAGTAGAGAAATGTGTCAATCAAACTGTTTGCACAAGATTTTCCACCTTCTCTAGAAGGATTGCTAAGTGATTTATTGAGTGATTTAGCCTATTTTTTCAGGAAAAGAAGATAGCAACAAAAGAAGACTTGGGCTCGGAGTTTGAGGCTCCATCAAGAGCCTTGAGCTTGTAATTTCAGGGGTCTGTTTCTTTTCAGTTTTCTTTTTCTCTGTGTCAATTCTTGTATATAAAGTAATTAAACATGCAAAGCCTAGTTGGGCTTCCTTGTTCTAAAGAGAGGGCTTTTGTAAACCTAGATATTTTTTTTTTCGAACCCCAACTGAGTTTATATAAGTTCGGCACAGCCTCTTCCCCTGGATACCCGGCTTTAATCCTTTTTGACATTCAGGAAGATGCTAAAACTGATGCAGTTCTGTTGTCTTTCTTGTTAGAGGTTCTGGTTGAAAGCGCGAGTTTGCTTAATTTTAATTTGAAACAGTGTTAAGGGGATGATATCTCTTCCTTGTACAAATTAATTTGAAACAGTGTTAAGGGGATGATATCTCTTCCTTGTACAAATTAATTTGAAACAGTGTTAAGGGGATGATATCTCTTCCTTGTACAAATTAATTTGAAACAGTGTTAAGGGGATGATATCTCTTCCTTGTATTTTGTATATCGGATGAACTAGAGTTTCCAGTATCTTGTAATGGTGAGGTGAGTCTTTGATATCCTCGCCCCTCCTTTTTCCTTTCCTGTGAAGCAATAAGAGAGTAGGGATCACCAAGTTCCACAAGGCACAAAGAAGCATATAATTCCCCATCCCGAGTATGGAAAATCCTGGCACATGCATGTGTCACGACCCAAATCGGAGGGCTGCGATGGGCATCCGGTGCCTTACTCAACCGAGTACCAATGTAACATATCTTATCACACAATGTGGCGGAATGGCCATCATGAGATAACTGGAATACAACATAAGGGATTACTAGACATAGTACGATCCAACATGAAATAGAAACTTATACAAATGACATACGGGCCAATAAGGCCGACATGATCATTTGTACACTCAAAACATAGGCTGATAAAGTCATACAAGTATCCATATACATGACATCTGTCTACAAGCCTCTAACAGTACATAAACGTCATAAAGGTCGGGACAAGGCCCCGCCATATTAATCAATTTATGTCCAAATCATACTGGCCAAGTAGGCAACTCCGGAGCAAGTGGAGTGCACCAACACCTTTCGTTGAGCGGATAGCCTACTAGGAGGACTATCATCCTGTCTATCGGGACCTGCGGGCATGAAACGCAGCGTCCCCAGGCAAAAAGGGAAGTCAATAAAAATAAAGTACCGAGTATGTAAGACATGAAAGAAACATGGTGTAAAGAACTCAACATGTAAGTCTGAATATCTCTGTGAATAACTTTTATAATGTCATGCATATGCGTGTAAATGCCATACCATGCCTAGGTATATGAGTACATAACATCATCAAGCCTCTAACGGCATCCCATCATATCATCTCGGCCTCTGTGGGCGAAATCATTAACGTATACCAGCTGATCAGGTGGTGGTGCGTATATAACGCCGTAACCTTTCCCCATATCCCATATACATATAATATACGCGTATATAACGCCATCTGATCATGGGTCAATGTACATGTATAAATAAATGCAATGCATAATGAAGTGAGTCAATAAGATCTCTCAGATAAACTTTATCAACTTACGTATTTTTCTAAGACCCGCAAACAGATGGTATAATAAGAGGACACATGGGGAATCAAGAACATAGGCACTCCTAGTACTTCTATGAATAGAGGCATTTATGAAAGTTGTGCGTTTGCTCGTTTCGTTTGTATCATATGGACCACGCAAAAAAGGAAAGAAGAGATAACCTTAACATACCATTGTCGTTTACTTAACCTCACGACGTTGGTTCATCCAGTTAGTACTTCAATCTACAACAAACGATAAGGGAGCATTGTTAAGCTTACAGAAGCTAGAATTCAACACAAATGAGCGACTAGCTCGTCTACAAGTATTTGGACAGAACCTCCCTTATTCTTTTCCTTTCCTTAAATCAAACAACAAGACCAACATGTCTAAAATATCAACAAACATATTATATCAATATCCAACCTTATATCCATCGCAATACATCACCAAAGCAGTCCACACAATTTCATACAACAACCAAGTGCTACTTTGCGCTTTTCCATCCCTATAACTTAGCTAAAACTTGAATACACTTCAATAATGACAACCAAAATATACTTAGGTTATACATACTGATTTTTAAGCCACAACACCACATAAAAACGAACTCATAACAGTCCACAAACTACAACAATTGAAAATTGATTTTCAGATTATTACTTCATTAATTCTTACTCCCACAACTTAGTTAAAGCGCCAATAAGATTAAACACAACATGTCCAAGACAATACTCTTATGTGATAGCCATATAATTATATGAAACTACTCCAAACAGTCCATAATATCACAACAACTTCAACTTAATTTCCAGCCCCTACTTCACAAGTCCTTCACCAAACATCCTAGCTATAACTTACATAAACTCAAATATATAAAGGAGGGGGGATTTTCTTACCTATATCAAATCTTGTAGGGATGAAACGATGGTAGTATATTTCCCTTGATGGTCATTAACTTGCTTCTCATCAGATCCTTCAAGATTGGAAATTACCCTTTAACTTGAATTGAAAGAAGAAGAAGATTATCAATAACTTCTTGAGAGTTTGTAGTAGGTCAATTTGGGAGATAATTTTGTGGCTATCTTTATGTTTCTACTACTTGGATATTATGAGGATATGTGACTTGATCCAGCCCCTAAAAGGACCCTCTTGGTAATCTACATATGTCCATTTAGGTGGACTAATTTGGGGCTTCCCTTTTAGCAAGTAGGTGACACACCTACTTGTCACCTGCTTGGTTAATAAATAGGTGTCACATTCTGCCCTTATTCACTTAGACACGTATCTTACCCTTATTTAATAGTCACGACATGTGTTAAGTATCTCAAGCTAGTAGGACGGGTAAGCAAGTAGCTCAAACAAGTATCTCGATAAGCAAGCAGCCATATTTTATGTATCTATTGTCTCATTTGTTTTTTTCAAGTCTCATTCAACTTAACTTACTTAAGACTTCGATAAACCTTCCTTATCCTCGTAGAGGCATTTCATTCCTTCTGAGCTTACGTCAACCGACTTACGACGTACTTTTATGTACAAAAACATAGGGTGTAGCATCATTCCCCCCATTTGGAACATTCGTCCTCGAATGTTAGTTGATGCGCTTATCAGCTCATAATCCAAAAATACTTTAATACTATCCTTGCCACCAAGGCAACTGTTCTGTGAATAAATTCAAAGGCAAGGGCATTCCCCCCTTTAGGCCTCTTTCTCACACCATGACCTGTGGTCGGAATTCTTCCAATCTCATAATTGTTTCTACCTTCTGTCATGTAGCATGTGCGAATATGTCCGTGTACGCATGCCTACGCGACTCTTCTCTCCTTTTTCCTCCAGCTTTTAGCCAATCTCTAGGCCTCACATTGTGAGATGTAGTGACGTTCTTGGTTTGGTTCTTTATCGAACTTACGACTATTGTTATATTCTATTTCCTAGATTTAGAACTTTTTCCCATCCATTGTTGATTCACCTTAATTTTGATCTACAATCCACCAGTAATAACTTGAAACTTCTTACGTAATACATTGTCACTAGGGCTCACGTCTTATCTGCGAACATATGAAGTTATTTGCCTGATCCTCCTTAGGGATTATACTATACTTCAATAATTGTATTTCATAATTTCATAACACTATATATTTTTCTTATGTTATTTTGGAACCTCAAGCGAGATATCATGTTGCCTCTAACTCTTCTTTACTCTCATAACTAGACCTCTCGGTACCTGAAAACCATAGGCTAGTAGATATGTCACTGACGACACCGCTATCATTCCTTGATACTGAATCCCCGTGCTTCTAGCCCTCTATCTGAAGTACGGACTATTCACAACCTTCTGCACGTGAGTATCTCGTACCTTCTTTACCTTTTACCTTACATACCTTAAAATCTTGTATCGTATCTTCCATCTCTTTCGTAACCTCTCTTCCACATAGGTATCATTCACATCCACAACTTGAAGCTCAACTATAATACTTGCACTTCTGGTGCATATATAATCCGATGGAAGCTTCATACTGACTTCCTATGAGGCTGGTACTCTTCTAACTGGCTTTATCATAGAGCCGTTATAGAAAATGGCTTATGTACTATCTCTCTTGTACCTCTGATATTAAGAGTGATTCTGCAATGGTTTCAATCACGATTTCTATAATTATCTAGGTCCAATAATCAGACTCCTGATTTACTTAGGTGATGTAACTCTTTAGATTCCTCTTCTCTCTCAGCCTTTATGTAGGCTTAAGCTATCTTCTGATATGTGGCTCAGTGTATTAGTTATTACTTTAGCCTTTCATGGACGCTGTGAAATATCCATGATATATTATTCTAACTATTCAATCTTTTGTATATGACCCGGGCTCAATTCTTTCTTTTAACTTATATCATAGTCTTTTACGGCTATATGAATGTCAACATATATGATGCTTCGAGAATACACCAAAATCTTAAATGCGTTTATAACGTAACTAACTCTGGGTCATTGATAAAATAATTCCTTTCGTTCCTTCTCAGCTTTCTTTAAATATAAGCAATTACTTTTCCTGGTCATTTTGCTACATGTTGCATGAATAATTGGTTTATCTTAGTGCCCGCAAATACTAGAATTCCATGTAACTCATATGATCTCAAATGTCACTTTTGGATTTATTTTTTTTTCACTTCCCATTCATTAGCCATTGTAGGTGCCACTTTTTTATGGAGTGCATACAATGCTGTAGTGAGACTGTTTTTACATGACCAATTCTTCTTCAAGTTACTATGCTTAGCTTGAAGCCTTCTTATTTCCTCAGCTAGTCTCTCATTGTAGTACTTAGGGAGGACCTTCTGACTCTTGTAAAACTGTGAACTTATTACATCGTATACTCGACGGAATTTTTTGATGTTCTTCCTCGCCTATAATTATCCTTAGTTACTTACCTACACGCCCGTGTGCTTGTAGGGTTGCTTCTGAATTGATATTTTGACTGTCTTCCCAGTGGCACTCTCTTTTATTTCCGTAACACCAGTACGATACCTTTAACTACCCCAACTCTTATCTGAATAATTCTAAAGGATTAAAATGTCATAACTGCGAGACTGAATTCACCATATTGGTTTTCACTATGTTTATCTTGCACACTCTGCTGATTTATCTGTATCCTCTTGTCTAGCTATAACTAGGCTCTTCCTGAATCAACTACTAACTACTCGTTGGTCCATTCTCATATCTATATTCCGCGTAATCTCTCTTGGGTTATGTCATTTGTTTTAACTTACCTCTCGCACTGGCTCTTTATGTATCAATTATTCATTCATACTTATTTTTCAATAACATCCTAGTCGGGAACCTTTATTACCTTTCCCTGTCGTCGTGCTTGCGTAATGTTCCGGAGTCGTAACCTATCTATGGGATTTGGATAACTGCAATCTCATCCCTTTCTCATTTTTATCGCATTCTTCCTTTACTATTCCATAGTTCCCTAAACCATAT